TCTTTCCTTGCCCACCTTCTGTAAGGCTTTCTCCCATTTTCTGAACCCCTTTTCTTCCCTAAATTCCATACCTTTACAAACATGTCTAGTTTTCCTTTTGGTGTTCATGACAGAGGTGTTCCTAGTGTGAATATGGAGGTTCTGGACACTCCATTAGCTACTGCGGCATCCTGGTGGACGAATTCTGAAGGTAATAAAAATATTTTCTAAGTTCACGGATCTGGCCAACATTGATATCACTCTGCGTCATTTTATGTATATGTTTATGCCCAATTTCTATCAGGGTATTATATTGAATATTCGGCACCGTGGAAGCAAATCCCTGGTCGTCTAGATGGACAACAAAGGTAATCGATAGTTTTGGCTTGAATTCTTTTTTGTGAAGACCGAGTTCGTCGTGGCTGATGTCACCGACTTCCTAGAGGCGTGAAATTGTGCCTGTAAGTGCTCTTTCTTGTCTACGTTCCTTCATGAGATTGTGAATTTTGACTTTGTGAATTAACTCTTCTCATCTTGCAGCTACTGCTCGGAGCCTCCAGTTGGAAGTGCACCTCACCGATTGGGTCAGGCAGGTCCTCCCTTATACTGTGAGGATCTGAGATTAGTCCAGATTTTGGTAGAAGTATAAACCGACTTCCCCCCGAAAGGTAACGTTGATATTTTGTTCTCAAATGAAGCTGTATTTGGTTTCATTGGTCTGATTATGTTTGTTTCTGTATCCCTTTCTAGGCCCCGCCAAGGAGGCCGTCAAGAGGAACTTGGCGCCAATACCTTCTTTCAAAAGAAGGAGGGGTGTTGCATCATCTGCACCTGCCTCCGATTCGACCACCGTACCGGTTCTCCCTACGGATCTCTTCCAAGTTGAATACGAGGAGATTTCACCATAAGATATGGACCTAAGGCCACGAAAGAAGAGAGTCGTAGATGGGGGAGCTGGTGTACCGATGGTGGTTATCTGAAGTCTCCTCGAGATTGAGGTGCAAGAGGATGTGGCGGCCTTGGCCGAAGGATATGTTAGGGAAGCCCCGAAGGCGCCCCAATTGGAAAAAGCTGACATCACGGCTTCTTTGCGGTCTAAAGGGAATGAGGTCTCCATGGATGCCTCTAACGAAGATCTCTTAGTTCCCGGGCTTGAGGAGGATGCAACAGTTGATCTAGCTCAAGAAGCTTCCTCGGCTGATAAGGGGAAAAGCAAGATGCCCGCCGAACAGGGTAATGAGCGAGCCAAGCCTAACGACTATGAATCCAATTTTGACCTTGATCTTGAAGATCACACGATAATTGATAGTGGGATAACTCAGGTTGAAGTTTGAGTTGAGGGGGGTTCGAGGACCATCACGATCCCAGTTAATCACAACTTGCTTAAGAATACCGAGGATGTAATTTAGGCATTTCTTCTGCTGCGATGCCGAGCACTAGACTCTCGGGGAGCTGAGTGATAGTACTCTTTCCAAGAGCATCACCGGCCTCACTCTCAGGGTAAATCATTTCCTTCCTCTTTTTTTATTTTTGCTTTGGCTCACTTTTGAATCTCACTTACTTACTCTTTTTTCTTTTATGCGCAGGTCGTTATTCTGGAGATTGAGATATGCGGAAAGAGAAGAGGCGGAATGAGGTCCATTACAAAATGCGGACAAACTATGAGGAGTTATTAGGGTAGTACAAGGAGGCTGAGAGGAGGCTCCATGAGAGGGGTGGGTGATGTAACTGCCCTGAGGGAAAAGATAAAAAACAATGATGCAAGTTGCTCGCATAGGTGGAGCGGTTCAGTGCTCTTGAAGGGGCGTTAAAGAGGAAAGATGATAGCTCAAGCTGAGTAGGGGCATAGAAGCTCATTACAACGACCTCCAAAATCGGGTTGATCAATTTCAAAGCCAGTTGGATGAGCACCAGTTCGAAGTCAATAGGCTTAATAAGGAGGTAGCTAGTAAGTAATAGTTGATCGAGGAGGCGGAATCCTCCTGGAGACAAGCTCGAAGAAGTGTCGCTCTTCTTGAGTTGGCAAATGGAAGTTTATGTGCGGACTAGGATAATGTTCAATTGACAGCTGATGCTAAAGATGCTTGGCTCGAGAGAAGATTGGTGTGTCAGCGAGAGAGAATGTCGAGCTGCATGAGTGAATTTTTGTTGCAGAGGGCGAGAATGCTAGACTTCTCGAACGATCCTCCACTTCTCATGACTCTAAATTTTTGACAATTCCACGAGAGCAGTACGAAGAGTGGATCCTTGCTGAGGCTAGAGTAGAAGTGCTCTAAGTGTTGGGAAAGGCAGGCTTTGTCTATGAGAAAACCTTAGAGGAAGCTATAGTTAAAGCTCGTGAAGCTTGGTTGGCCTGTAGTTACGAATCCGACGCCTCGACCTGATGCAGAGGACAATGATGAAAAAAGCCTACTTGATCTTGAAGACAGTGCCTGGTGCGACTTTGCTTTTAGCCGAGGCGAGGGTGTATAGTGTGGTGGAGACCAAGGCGATGCTAGTCATTAGACATTCCACCCTTGTTTTATTTAGCTTTTTGTACTTCTCTATTTTTTATTGGTGTCTTTGTGCTCCTTTATAAAGACTTTATCTAAATATCAAATTTAGCTTTTGTTTTATATGTACCTTTCTTGCATATATTTTGTTTATGTGGTTGTGTTTTAGTTATACATTCCTTCCCTTTGTTGTTGCCCTTTGGGTTATGATAGTTGCGGGGCTGGGGAGTTCTACTCAAGAAAATTGAATGGATGCCTTTTGTGTAGGTGTGGAGTGGCCATAGGTTGAGAGGTTCTGTTCGGGCTAGCCAAATATACCTCTTAGTTAAGACGTGCAAATGGCCGAGGGGTTCGTTCGAGCTGGTCGAACATACTTCTTAGTTGAGATATGGAAAATGGTCGAAAGGTTTTTTTCAAGTTGGTCGAACGTGCCTCTTAGTTGGTCTATGTACAATGTCCGAAAAGTCTTGTTCGAGTTGGTCGAATGTATGTCTTCTTAGTTAAGATGTGTCCAAGGGCCGAGAGATTTTGTTTGAACTGGTCGTTGTACCTCTCGGTTGAGATGTGACCAAGGGCCAAGAAGTCTTGTTCGAGTTGGTCGAATGTATGTGCGAGGGGTTTTGTTCGAGCTGGTCTAATGTACCTTTTAGTTGAGAGACTTAGGAGAACAGTTCTAACAAATAGGCATCTCTTTCATTTTAATCATATTGTGTCGATTACATTATTTCGCCCTGAGGCATCTTGGAGAAAATTACATGTTTTGGGTATTGGATGACGTTCTAGTCTCAGTCCTAGTATATCTAGTCCCTTCATTGTTCGATTCAGAGATTATTGAGGAGTCGGGTAATGAAATGTAGTTATTCCCATGTACTTCACCTCGGAACGTCCCGACAGTTGCCTCTTTAAAAACCTCCTTGAGAAAACCTTGTTGAGACAATACTCAAGTGAGGGAAAAAGAGTACAACTTACGAGGCATTCCTTGCTTTTTAGAAGTTGAAGTATTTGAGGTGGCTGATGTTCCAATTGTTTGGTAAGCGCATTCCTTACGATGTCTCCAGTTGGAATAAACCTTTGTCTCCCTTGCCTATGATTTTTTACTGTCCGTCCCAATTGCCTCCTAGTTTCCCTTCTCGGGGGTCTCTTCCTGCTTGGGTCTTGGCCTTGAGGACGTAGTCCCCGACCTTAAGTAACCATACCTTGGATTTTTTGTTGTAGTAGTGTTCTGTTTATTGTTTTTGTGCGACTATTATTACATATGCCATGTCTCTATGTTCTTTGACTTCGTCAAGATCCTGCCTTCTGTTTTCGTCATTGTCATTGCCGCTCTCATTGGTGTACCTTAGGATGGATTCTCCTACTTTGATCGGTATGACTGCTTTAGACCCATAGACTAAAGACTAAGGTATTTCTCCCATACCTATTTTTGGGGTTGTCCTATGTGCCCACAATACTCCTGGGAGTGTCTCAAGCCACAGTCCATTATCATCTTCGAGTCTCTTCTTCATGATGTTCAAAATGGACTTATTGGAGGATTCTACTTGCCCGTTACCGGCTAGATTGTACTGGATTGAGACTATTAGTTTGATATGCCACTTTTTCGAAAAACTCAGTGATTTTTCTGCCCGTGAACTGAGGTTTGTTGTCGCAGCTTATTTCCTTGGGTAGGCCGAATTGGCAAATAATATTTTTTCATATAAAGCTGATTACTTCTTACTCACGAATTTGGGAAAATGCGCCAACTTCTACCCACTTTGAGAAATAGTTAGTCAAAACAAAAAGGAATTTAATGTTACCTCATCCCGGCAGTGTAAGCACGTAATATTTTCCCTACCTTTATTACTCCTAAAACTCTACAAAAATAAACATTCCTTGGTGTCTTTTTGATTATTTTTTTTTAATTTTTTAGGCATTTTCCTTTATTTTTCTGTTGCATTTATTTGCATTTAGTTACATTCATGTATATTTAGAAATATTTAAAATCCTAAAAATCATCTAAAAAAATATTTTTTTATCTTTCACTTATTACGTTTAAGATTTTAATTGCATGTTTAGGATTTAATCACATATTGATTGCATAGTTAATAATTGAAAATCATAAAATAATTAACTTACACTAGTGTAGTTCTTTTTGCATATGATTAATTAAATGGTTCAATTTAATTAATCTAAAGTAGTTTAATTGTTAGCTGGGTCATTTTTAGAAAAAATAGGTTCAATTGGTGTTAAGTAGGTGTTAATTTTAAAAATTAATAGAGAAAAGGACATAGGCTATAAGGCTTTTGTCTTCACTTGTTAATGGGGACAACAAGTTAATTGCCGAATCTCTCTCAAAACTAAACCTGCCCAACATCTGCCCCAGCCCTATCCCCACAAATCCAATCTGGCCCAACCCTTTAATATCCCAAACGATACTATTTTAGTAACAATTAATCCTGACCGTTCATTTAATCTGATCCTACGGCTAGGAACTCCTCATCCCCATCCCTTATAATAGTCCAAATCCACCGCCAAACCTTAAACACCCTTCCATTTCATTCATCTCTTTCAAATTTCTAACCATAGCAGCCTTCCTTTCCTAAGATACCCCACCCGGTAACACAATACCCAAACATACCCAAACTTTTACTATACAATATTCAACCTCCCCTCACCACTAATTCACTTACAGATTTCCCTAAAAAACCTACTATTTCGTGATTTTTAGATCTTAGATTCGCAGAACCTATTTAGCTCATATCATTGAATTTCTCTCCAAGCTTAAGTCTGACAAATTCGAAATCGACATCAATTGATTGCTCTTGATAAGAGCAGTCAATTGATGATGAGTTCAATTCCCAGTATGACCGATGAATTTAAAACAGAGGCCTCTTTAGGTAATTCCTTCATCGTTTTCTTTATTTCTCCTTCTCCCATTTCTATAAAATTTCCAAATTGTGATTAATTGTTAAAATATTTATTATCAAAATCACTTTAATTTGAAAATTGAAAATATGATTGGTTGCATTTTTCTATTCTCTATTCGATCTTCTGATTTCTTTTATCTCGTTTGGGCTGGTTTGCTATAGGCCATTTGGCCATGGATGCCCGACCCAGTCCCAATCTAGTTAATGAAGGGAATAGAAAGGGCCATTTTGGTAAAATAAAGAAGGGGTCTGGGTTTGGAAAGAATTTAAATAAAAGAAAAGGAGAATAAGGGAAAAGAATTAATAATAGAAGGGGAGCTGACATTTTCAGTTACAAATATTCCCCTCCCCTCTCTCATTCCCCCTGATTTCATGCTGCCGGATTCCCTTTCTCACAGGCTCTCTTTCATATATATATATATATATATATATATATATATACACACACACACACACACACACACATTCATTTGTGCATTGAAAAGGGGATCTCACACTTGTCTGTTTTAGTCATTCTCTTATCTACATACTCTGCATTTTTATAATAGAGAACTGATTCTGAAAAATCAATTCTTATCATTGATCACTCATAGGTCTAGGAAATTAAATTTCAAGAAGAAAAAAACACAAAAAGAGAGGAGAAAAACTTAGGAAAGAGATCATAAAGAAGGTGATAGGAAATATTTTTTGGATTTTATAAGCTATTGAAGTTGATTTCGTTTATTTGTTGATTACTGTTGTTAATTGCTCCTATTCGATCAAGCTGGTTTTGCTTTCGAAATTTGATCATATTTAGCCATTTCCTTCTGTATCTTTGTTGCTTGGTATGTAAATATCCACTTACCATTCTCCATTTGCTGTTATGAGCAAAACCTGAGGTGTTCATGTCACATTTAAGCTTAGCTTTTTTCATGAATTTATAATGCTTAATTGCCATACTTGTGCTATTTGCTACTCTCTAATTGTTGAAGCATCGTACTGATAGATGTCATTTGTTATAAAGTCTCTCAATTCCCCTTTTACATATGAAATCCTAAAACAAAAGAAAGAAAGTTTCAAAATTATTTGGATCCTCACTTGTTGCTTCTATTGTTTTGATATGTGGTGGACAAGATGCTGATTTGCAAAGCAGATTTGTAGATGCCTTTGTAAATTGAAGACTTGCTGACAGATTGCAAAGCCACAGGAGCCCAGATCATGTATCTGTTTTGAAAGCTAGTGTGATCATAACCTTAATCTAGAATTTGCTAGAAAATCTTGTAATTCAAGTTGTGTTAGATAATGTGTATGATTCACTATTAATTACCTTGTAAATCACGTTAAGTTGATAACTTACATGATTCATGATTAATTATTTTGGAAATCGAATTAAGTCCAACAATCTATATGATTCATGATTAATTTCACACTTTGTGTTTTACTGCATACCACGTTAGTGTCAGCGTTGTCCCATAGATGAAATCCAATTGTTGGGCTCATTTTTTTCGAAGGCCCACGTCCCTATTGGAATTCCTAAAAGCTAAAACTTAGTGTGTTGTAAAAAGAAACCAAGGAGCCTTTTTCGTCTTAGTTCAAATTCCCCCAATACAATGTTTCTAGTCATTGATTCATGTTAATATCCATTTTTAGTAAGTATTTTTGAGCCATATCCCCCTAAAAGGTGCATAGTGACAGAATTGTTAGACCTTACGAAAAAGATCACTTATTTCAAACATTGCTGGGCTTATTTGATACAGACGTATATTACTTCCAACATTCATGTGATAATCTCCGGTAGTAACATCAAATCCGAAACTAGGTAGATAATGAATTCTATAAACATCGTAGCTTGCTTTAGGCGCGATTAATAATAAACATCGTGACTATGAGTACAGTTCCCGTGGCATAGTCATGATACATACTCCCCAATTAGAGTCTGTGTTTCACGTGACTCGACCCTAACTTCAAATAATTAAAATCAACATGTTTTGAATCATGGGTATATTTCACGTGACATGATTTATATTGTGTACAAAAACAGCGAGTGCGCGACATCGCGTCTTGTTCAAATAAACCTCATAAAAACTAAAAACGGTTTCGAAAGTAAAAAAATGCACAATATATGTTTTTTAAAATATGTAATAAATCAGATAATTAGGCCAAGTATTAATTTTTAAGTGACCGTGCTAAAACCACGGAACTCGGAAGTGCCTCACACCTTCTCCCGGATTAACAGAATTTCTTACCCCGGTCTTCTGTGTTCGCGGAACATCAATAGAGTCAATTTCCTCGATTTAGGATCTTAAAATAAACCGGTGACTTGGGACACCATAATAATTATTCCAAGTGGTGACTCTGAATTAAATAAATAATCCCAATTCAAATAATGTCACTTTAATTGGAAAAAACTCCTTATTCCTCGAAAGCAAAGGTGTGACAGCTCCGGCGACTCTGCTGGGGATCGAACCCAAATTTCTGGTTCAGATTTTAAAATTTCGAGATTAGAATAACTGTTATGTTTGGATTTCTTGTGATTGTCTAATATTACATATTTGGGCCTAATACGCTAATTATCGCTCATTTACCTCTTTGATATTCTGTGATCTGTATATAAAAATGTTACACCACCCTTCCTCTTTCCGAGTCCTCTAAATCTTCTGGGAAGTGCATGTTGACGTGGCTTCTTTTCTGTTAGAATGTCATACCCCTAATTTAGAAAGAGGATCAAATAAAGTTACAAGCAGGATGGCCTTTTGGTTCCTGGTACGTTTCCACCCTCGGCTCGAGTTGTCCACTCGGGTAAGCCATATCTAAAATAACACACCTCAGGATTCGAACCTAGAATGACATAGCCTCATGCCAGATCCCTAGAAGGTATGTTTATTTGCATCATGTGCATTTGTCTTTCGGGACTCAACATAGGGTTTAGGTCCTTCTAGGACAGGTGTGCCCAAATTAAAAGACCATTCTGATGCATTTTATGCGCTACTTGTGCATTTATTTATTTCGGCTTGCATGTTGACCGACTTCTAAATAGGGAAAGAAAATCAAGAAAAACCAAGAGTGAAGTAGGAGAGAGGAATTTACCCGATTCTTAAAAAATTGGGGTATTTGAAAGTCCCGAAACTCTGCCGAAATTTTAAAAAAAATGAAAAAAGAAAAGTCATTTCAAATAAGTCAATATTTTTGAAAGTCATATTTTCCTGTTATATCAAAACTTACCGAACTACGTGTATTTGATTCTCACCGGATATGAGATACGTAGGCAACCTTCATCAGGTTCGGCCCTGTTTTGCAAAAATAATAAAAAATATAAAATGATGTCATTGCGTCATAAATAAAGTCAGGTGATGCCGTTTTTGTCCAAATATCCATAAATGTCCCGATAGGATGCCGGAAGACCATTTTTACATGAATAGCCACCTATGGCCTCTTTTAAATTTTTAGGCCACTTAGCAAGCACAATCCTAAAATCTTCGCTTCCGAAGTGCTGAAGGTCCGTATTAGCAAAACTTGCCGTGTTTTGATCTAACTTGGGTTTTGCAAAATTTGTATTTGTGGTTAGTTCTTAAACAAAATTCACATTGTATTAATCTAGTCATCCTAATTTTAAAAATATGCAGAATGAGCACTGTTCAGAATTTACCTGTGAGGGTTATGGACCAGATCCCATTGACACTCCATATGTGGTGGGAATACTTGGGAATACAAAGACTAGGTAGAGTCAATCAATACCTAGGGCGCTCTCTAGATTATTAAAGATTTAACCTTGAATTGATCTGATAGAGGCACTAGTGTCGTTTTGGGACCCCGCCCATAATGTTTTCCACTTCTCATACTTTGAGCTTACACCTACTCTGGAAGAAATAGCAGGTTATGCGGGGAGCATAGAAGGATTGAGACACAAGTATCTGGTATCTCCAAGGACCGTTAGTCCCCACAAGTTTCTTGACTTGCTGAAAATTAGTAGACAAATCTAGGCAGGAAGTCTGGTGGGTGGAGTTTGCACCTTTCGTTTTTATACCAGCGATATGGGCATCAAGGGGGATTTGAAAACCCAAAAAGTGGGCTCTGCAATAAAGGAAACCAGTCCAAGTGAGAGGTGCATAGATGTTTTGCCTTCATGGTGGCATTTCTAGGCCTTTTGGTGTTTCTAAGGGAAGATGGGCTCATTGACCTGCACGTAGCTGGAGTCGTCCATGTTTTGACACTCAAACAAAGAGTACTCTCGCACCTATGATCGTATCAGATATATTCCGAGCTCTGACATCCTGTAAGGCCGGAGCTGGATTTTTTGAAGAGTGCAGCTTGTTACTACAAATGTGGATGATCGAATGCCTTTGTCACTGGCCCCGATACATGAATTACGATTATATTGGGAAAAAACTGCATCGAGGAGTTTGGTGCGTGGGTGACAGGATTTGCAATGACAGAGGGAGTCAAAGATTGGATCTCCCGCCTTCGTTATATAACCATAGATCAGATAGAGTGGACATTGGGTTGGCTCCATGTTGATGAGATTATTTATATGCCCGCCATTGGTCCCTACTTCCTTCTAATGTATCTCTAAATCATCCATCCATATGCCTCATACTCGGTTTTGAGACAACTTGGAAGACGCAAGACAATTCCTAGAGATGAAGATCTTAATACTCATGTGGTTGAAATCCGCTCTGATGCTCAATTTCTCGAAAATGTGGTGCACCAAATTTGGAGCGGATGCTAGTATTTGGGGGAAAACACCCGAATACATGATTTATCCAAGGGAGAAGTCTTACATGGTTATGTTGCTTGGTATGGAAAAAGAGTCACAATATATTACGAATTCGAGAGACCGGTTAAAAGTCCCCATATCCATGAATTTGTCAATACAACACAAGAAAAATGGGCTTGTTTAGCTAAAGAAAAGGAATACCGGGCTACCAATAACAAACTAGAGCATCAAGTTAGAACCATCATATTTGAAAGTGGATTGCTGGCCGCTGAAGATGAAGGAGAAAAGAAAAAGTTGGCCCGGGAAAACGAAGCCCCCGAGCTCAAATCCGAGAAATGAAAATAGCTGCCGAAACGTCGGTAAGAAGTGAAAGAGATGAAAAGATCATAAGCAGCCTAAGGCGAAAATTTCATGAATATGTCGTGGACCTGACAAATGACGAGAAAGATTTGGCAAAAGCACGAGCAAAATTGGCAAAAGATGTAGAAGAATGGACAACGTCAGCCCGCCAGTTAAAGCCTCATATGATAGAGAAGTCACAATTTTAAGGAAAATGTTGTCCACCCTTGAAAATGAAATGGGTCAGCAGGTAAAGGACTTCAAGACAAAAAGAGAACATTGTTATCCACTGATTAATCAATTTGAAGAAAGTGTGTTGTATTTGCAAGATCAAAAGAACAAGGCCATGCAAATAGTGGAAGTTCGGGAGCAATAGTTTGGACGATTACTCAAGGAGAAGGGTGCCATTAAACTTAGAATCAAAGAAATAGCCGATTACACTACAATGAAATGCCATGAATGCGAGGGTATGACCAGAGCTATGTCCTTTGCTTCTCTGTCCTTCGCTCGCCAGGTCATGGTCGATCTGGAGTTCCTTCAGGAAGAGCTTGCACGCAGGTTTGCGCCGTGAATGGCTGATGTATCGCGGGCCCCCTGAATAATATTTAAGGGCCATCTATTTTAGTCTTTGAGTCTGCATTTTACTTTTTCTCGAGTCTATTTGTCCTTTCGTCCATTTCGAGTCTGTTTCTATTTTGTTTTGAGTCAGTATGTTTTTCTTTATGTTAGTTATCAATGTCTTTAGGTCGTTGTAATGAAAAAACAAAAAAGATTTTTATTAATGAAATATGAAAAACCCAAAATAATGTTTTGCTTTCATTTTACAATTTTTTTGAACTACATAATGGTTTAATTTATGCGGCGTCATGATACGTAGGCAATTCCCATCGGATATGATCATAGACATAATTAATCTAAGTGAAATCAACAAAAAGAGAGAAAATTGAGAGACAATAAGTAAAAGAAAAGGAAGACAAGTGTGATAAAAACAAATGAGAAAACCAGGAATGACAAAACAAAAGAAAAAAAAGAGAGTGAAAACAAAAGGAAAGTGAAAAAGAAGCAGTGAAAGCCGGGATAAAACACGCAGCCGTTGCGAAAAACATTTTAGAAGTGTTTAGCTGTATAGGTGCATTGCATCACCAATGTGCGATTCCCTATCTACTAAATGTCTTAAAACTGACAAGGTGGTTATGTGTGCAAGTAAGTCAGGTTTTGTTCCAGTGGTTGGTTTTGTCGGTAATCTGGTTTCTCACCCCTATTTTACAAGATCCAAAGGGAGGGTTCCAATGTCTTCAAAAAGTAGTCTTTGCATCATCGATCCTGTGGATAATGCTACACCGGTTATGTCACAACCTGAAT